CTGTGAGTAGATCACTTCTCACACAGCTGAAATTCGTTGAAGACATGGATTTTCCAGAATTCACCTTGTTACAAGTTTTCGGTACTTTCTATTTACTCAGTATCGGGCTTTCATTTGGGTTAATCATGTAATGATATCTGCTCACTTAGTGTCGTTTACTTAGATACTGATAGATCGACATCAAGCTGAATACGCTTTTACTTCGCACATGTACACAATGGTGTCTTGGAAGTACACTACTTATTCCGAGGACATCTTCAATTTAGTCAGTTGTAGGAATACATTCTGAGATGTTTTCAGTTGTTATTCATCACAAAGAAGCTACTTTTACTGCATCCACATTGTAGCTTTATGGAGAATATATTGAATTTCCGATTGGTTGTGTGTCTCTATTACCAAGGAAATGGTCCAGGTTCACCTCCAGTTAGACTGTCTTAGTCTACAAAGGTTGTTCAATGTATAAAACAGACTAATTCAGTTCGTGTATATTGAGTTTCAGGGCAAATAGTACGTCACGATATTATTGTTAGATTGAGTTATGTAACATGTTATCAGTACAGTGTATCTCATACATATATATATATTTCCAGGACAAGAGCTACTTTTACATAATACGTGGATAGAAGCATTTTACAGTCAACTGTGAACCCACAAATTGCATTGAGTTGGTAGTCATACGCAGCCCTTATCTGCAACATAGATGGTGGACACCTTCCCTCTGGGATTCGAACCACAGCCGCCTAGTGCTACAGTACATGGGGATTTACTTTGTGACCTTTTTTGCTTACGCTAATGTCTATAATTCAATCCATATCCATTTCCGAATCAGCCGTGTTGGCCGTTTTCGAATAGCCAACATTTTAGATTCATTCTACTCTAAATAGGGTTCATGGGCAAGTTCGCCACGTTCTTGTAAACTTACATTTATTGCTAGAAACTTAAACCACTGAAACACAGTTACTATACACTTTTGGCTAATATAGATACGACTGTACGGCTTCTGAAGAAGATGGTCTAAGAGAAAAAGAGAAAAAAAGAAAAAAAGAGAAAAAAACACCGAAGTGGAAACCAAAGAGACAATCTCCTTTCTGGACGTTCGTTTGAGTAAGAAAACCGATGGTACCTTGGACAGATCAGTACACAGAAAACCTACATGGAACGGTCAGTTGACAAACTCCTACAGCTGGGTACCAATTAGTCGCAAGCGAAACTTGATAATATCTCTGGCGACTAGAATCCGAAAAATCTGTAGTTCTGAATCAATAGAGGAAGAGATCGCACTCTTAAGGAAGACACTGCTCGAGAATGGTTACCCACCCCGTTTTATAGACAAGCATATTAAGCCGAAGACTTACAAAGAACAACCCATTACAGTGCAAAAGAAGATGGTCTACCTGAATGTACCCTTTAAAGTTGACCTTCTGGCTGACACCTTGAAGAGGAGGATATCTACTGCTCCCAAAAGGACATTCTTCGCTGCCACACTACGACTGACATTTTCCTCCTGGCCATTGTTCTTCAACTACTCTAAAGATAAACTATCGCATTTGACCACTTCCATGTGTATCTACCAATTCACCTGCTCTTGCGGAGCGGGGTATATAGGTCATTCGATGCGAGTTTTGTCTAAAAGAGTTCAAGAACACTATCCCGCCTGGCTACGGAAAAGTAACAACGGAGCAATAAGGAGCGCCATTATTGAGCATATACTCAACACTGGCCATTCGATTTGCAAGGAGAAGTCGTTCGAAGTCATCTATAAAGTCAAAAGAAGCCTTCCAAAATCGACAAGCTTCCGTATACTTTGTATTGCCGAAGCCTTAGCGATTTGGATAGAAAAGCCTGAGTTATGCACACAGAAGGAACTTCTCAACCCCCTCCTACTACCGTGGGTTTAATTTCAAGTTTATTTGTCATCAACATTTTGTTGTCAAATTTTTCGCAATTTTCGTATAATAATTTTTAGTAACTAACCCATTCAATCTTTTCACCTATTATCTAGTTTATTTTCATAATTGTCTCCATACTCCTTCACCAACAGCTAATCTTTCTTAACTTGTCTATATTACGTAACCCTACTCACATCTTACCAATCCTCACCCCACCTAGTTACAACTTTGATTATTAATCACACATTTTAATTTCTTTATTATTTTGATGATGTAATCAACAACCCACACTAACTGTTATTTTGATTTTGACAAACCTAATATACACACACACACAAAATTAATTGCATATATTTGCGACTGTAGAGCTAAGTGAATGAATTCGCCGAAAAGAGACTCTTCGCTGAACTAATTTGTTCTTATTTCAATGTATTAATGGGTATTTTTCGCGAATGAAAAAAAATTTTCTCCGTTGAATTGCCTTTTTATTTTCTTCATGATTCAGTGGTTACTTTTTGATGAATGGTAATCTGTTCCTGGCTACCATTCATCTCGAAAATAAAATCAGATATTGTCTCATTTGACATCATCTGAGTCAAGCTAAACATGGATACGAATAGATCAAACACTAATGGAGAATCAATGGGGAAGAAACAGATGAGAGTTATTCACCAGCTCTTAAAGAATATTAAATCCACAATGGACTAATACCGATAAGTTGCTGGCATGATAGGAAGCACAATCTGATCAAAACACTTTGAAATAAATTGCTATTGTTCATAAGTCATGAAGTGCAAATAAATGGAATGAGTATCGTTAAACCTGATGATATGAATGCAGAGGTATTTAAGTGTAGTTTTAGTAGCATCGTTTAGATGGGCAAATTATCAGTAGTAAAAGCTAGCATCGGATGATCTAAAACAGTCCCACTAAACAGCAGTACATTATGGACTAGTGCGGTTTCGAGTAAGATGGATGAATCCTTATGGAAAATTGAATGCTGCAAACTTCTGTAGAAACTAATTACTAATATTAATAATTTACTTTATTCCAAAACAGTACATGTGATACAGAATGGAATTCTCAGCATTTTTACTACAGGATTGCATCCAGTTAGTACATTATCAATAAATAGAATTCTTCATAGATTAAGGAAATCTCAGTTCATTGTGACAACAACACATCGGCATGTCGGTAGCAAAGCCAAAGCTGAACAGTTTTTGAAGGTGTTAGAAAAGTAGGTGCTGTCATATTTACTGGCGTAAGCGAGAGCAGGAAACAAAGCAGCACATAACGGAAAAAAGAGAGAGAGAAAAGGAAAAGAAAGAAAGAAAACGTTGTATCTATAAATTATACGAGTTGGAAAGACTAGATCCAGTTGTTCTACTGACTATTTAATAAGTTATAGGTGTCACGTCTAATGCGTTCTATATCGTATACAACACGAGCTAAGTGGAGTACGGTTGAGTTTTTGTACTTGCTGGTGCGAGCATATACTTTTCTATATAGGCTTCTGGCTTTACCTGATGAGTTGCTAGGGGAGAGTTGTGAGTGAAGAAGGTGGTGTGAGTTAGATTAAATGGATTTGATACGTTTTTCACATCAGTCCATATGCCTTTCGACCAGAATATTAACGAGCTGGTTAAGCGGCACGTTGATTACCTTACTGACAACCTTTAACATCCTGCATAATATGTTATAGTCTTTCTTCAGTAGCCCGGGAAAAACTAAGGGGGAACAATAGAGAATAATAGGCAGAATGCGAGAATTAGCGAATTGTAGGAGTAAGGGTTAGGTTATATCAGAATGTTTAAACTTCTTGATGTTTCTAGGTAAGACGGAATATTTTCTTAGAAATCGCCAAGATATGAGCCAACCAGGAGAGATCAGCAAATAGAATGACGCCTAGGTATTTAATTTCTGACTTGGTTTCTATTTCAGTGCCACATATGTTGCATACCTCGTGAGAGCCAAACAGTTTGCTTAGGTCAGATTGTGACTCAGTGAACATATATCTCAGAAAGCCAGGCAGGCTTTAGGTCAAAGTGCGAGTGCATAGATCATATTGGTTTAGAACACAAAATTAGATGCTTTCAACATTACCATTCATTTCGAGAGTTGTTCTGGTTTACAAGCCAAGCTCATAGAACATTCAACCACTGGAATCACACGCCCTGACAGCTCCTGTTGTGTCTTGTAGGCTACATTCGACTGGGTTGCTTCTGAAGAGCTATGACAATGTACAAGTAGGAATGGTATGGTGAATAAGTATATTACACCAACCAGCACGGCCTAATGCAACCATCTTAGAGCTTGTGTGAGGCTATGGTTTCAAATGACAACAATCATTAGCATCCATCGTGAGTGTCAATAGCTGCGACCTCTAATTAATTCCATTATATAGATGTGCTTGTCGAAGCAACGTTTACCGAATTCACCGTCTCAGAAAATCACTCACCAACACTTAAGTGTCTCCTTGGTGCAGAGCATGTAGACGAAATTTACTGACATCTTTCTTAGTTTTCTAAATAACCTGAGTGAAAATCAAAGTATGATGTTTGTGTGATTTGCGTCAATCACGACTTGTCTGTGTCAACCGCTAGTTTTCGGTACAGGCAACAGATAAATGAACATTGAAATATCACACCTAATGATCAGTTGGTTGAATGCAACAATAAACAAGCAAGCATATCAACCAAAAAACCAGAAACGGGGGACATTTCAACCAAAATTTCAAACAATCACACAAAATGCATGCTGACTTCAGCTATAAAGATGTGGTTGATGGAGAGAATGAATGTTTCGCCGAAGAAACCTCCATCACAAAGACTAACAATACATCAAGTAAGAATCAACGCGTCAGTGAAACAAAGTGAAATGAACCAGAAAGATAATCCAACTCTCATGCATTTCAGTCGGTTAGGAGTTCATCCAGGTCAATCAATCCTAAGTCATGATCTGAGATCATAAGATCTGAGCATGTCGGTGACAACATGCTGACAGACGGCATTGATTTATGTGGCAAAACTGACCAGTGAACTGTTAGTTTGACACTTTAAATACACCTGCATGCATATATATAAATATGTGTATGAGTGGAACACTATTCAACTCACCAGTAACCTACAAACAACTTGTAAGTCCTCACATCTGTGTCTAACATGTCACTGAATGACTACGTTAGCTGACTGATCTTTGATACCATCACTCATAGAGAATAGTTTAAGACCACTTCTCAAATCACATCAAAAATCTTGTTGCGTTGTGGATTCAAAATTGACTTTGAAGCCATATGGCGTGTACTTGTAAATTCCAAATATCCAACATTGATGCAGTATTAAAGGATTACGTTTCAAGCATAAATTATTGCGAAAATTGCTCATAATCTAATGTCGAATTACGTTCTACTGTAGCGCTAAAGCTCTACACCTAGACTATTCCTATTTGTCTTTGTTTTGAAGCAGTACTTATTCCAACCATTTTCATTCAACTGTTGCCTTATTGTATTTGTAAATATACTCAATTCTCCTTGATTTGATTCAATTCTATTTCCAGATTCACAACAATGGCACATATTTCAATGTTCTGCATCATCATTGCTTGCATCCTTCTTCCAAACATCGTTGAAATGAAGCCTTATAAGAAATCTGAGAAACTTCCATTACATTTCGATGCGGATGGTGAGTCAGACCTCAAGGTCAATTACAGCAATATTTACTTCCTACATAACTGTTTGTGTTGAGCTTATCCATTTTCAATTACACAAACCTATAAACAGAGTCACTCAAGATAACAGATTCACATGGGGCAACACACCCTGTAGCTTCATTATGCCTACTGTTTATCTGCCTTCTGATGCTTCACGCCGAGTGTAAGATGAACACTGGATAACTGATTATGAAATTGGGGATTTCGGTGCCACGCATTTCTGTATATCCCACTTCTATTTCATTCTGACTGCAACTGATAACAGGGAGTATGTAAAGAGATGCTAGCGGTATTCTTCGGAACGACAAACATCAATGTACATATCATTTCTGCAACTGGACATTTGATAGTCTCTCAGTCACTAGTCACTACATTCCGAATTCCGCCATTGATATGCGGAGGAATATCGGCTTACCCAAGAGTAGGAAAAACAGCAGCATGTGCTTTTATTTACACACGAATTACAAATAGAATAATGATTTGGATGACACTTATTTCCATCCTTGTTAAGGTGAATCTACTGGAATTTATAGGTAAACACTGACCAATTACTGTTGACTATCCACGAAAGTGAACATTGTCTCATTAGACTTGCTATTGGGGAGGGCGTCTGATAGCTGAATCCCTTTACATTGCTCTTAATAGTTGACTATTGCTGCTTTTTCTTTCAGGATCATGGAATATCAAGTATGGATTGCTGACAGTGGGAAAGAATGAGAAGGAAGTTGTGAAAGTCGCGTCTGGTCTTTGTGTCACAAGCTTTGATCTGTCGAAACCGACTGCTGAGGAGTTGTCTGCAAAGAAGGGATCTCGACAGGTGGACACGTACGTTTTGATGTAGCTGATGACAGATGATTGCATGACTTGTTTATATGTTTATTAAAGCATAAATCTGATTCGATAATTATTTTTCTACTAGCACCCGAAGCTGAAATACTCTGCTCCGCTTGCATTCTCATCATAGCTATGTTCGGTGTTACTCGTGTGACGTCGTGAGAATATACATTCTTCACGACCTGGCTAACAATATTACTATGAGCTGAACCTAATCAGCCAATAGTATATTTATTTATTAGCTGTATTCTGATTTTGACAAATTGCAGTGATGTGTTCACAGACAGCTTCATTGGAATTAGTGAGTGAACAGGTGACTATGATGTGCGAAGTTTCCATTTTTGTGAACTAAAGGTCCTTTGGAGAATCGACGGTTATCTTATAGTGTTTGTAAATTGTTCAGTGTTAATTGAGACATCAAGTGGGCTAACGGCGGAATGACATAGCATACAGGCAATGATATCATTCCAGATAGTTGAGACGATCATATTTGTATGGTCATATTTAGTGGGAATATCAACGCTTTACAAATATTTCTCATCTGTTTTCAATGCCAACAGTAACATTTCTCGTGAATTGTGTGTTTATCCACTTCCAGTGTCTGTAAACGACCGGATCTGAAGAAGATTGGTAAGAAGGTTGAAAGTTTGAAGAAGAATATCAAGGAGGCGAAGGATGCGAAGACGAAGAAGGATTAAATGTGTGATTGTTTGGAGGAAATTTAGTGATTTGTTGATAAGACACGCTCCCATATACAAATATTGAATAAATGAATGCTAAATAAATTCTGAGTTATCACTCTGTGTTTTTTTTACCACCTCAGATCTTCTGGATCTGTGGATTAATCAGAAGCTGCAAGGCTTTGGCTGTTGTGTGTCGTTGTTGTTCACGCGTACAATGCAGATTTAAGTATTTGTCGTGCAATTGTATGGCTGTAATTATTTTCTTTGTGAATCGAATAATGTATTGCTATCATTACGAACTCACTGTGGACACTCACAATCGAAATAAACCGAATCAACAAATCATGCTTAGAGAGTAATTCACGGCTAAGTGAACATAATCTTCAACGCAGCTGTCACGCAGTTTTCATTATAGTCCATGGGTCAACACTTCCCTTATCTGAGAGAATCTTATTCTCTGCTCCAGTCTGGTTGTCTTCAAGCAATTTTCCTTACTTCCGTACATTTTCGCCTCTTTCAGTTCAATAAAAAATTTGAACATTGATAAATAGTTACACTTTTTAACACTGTCATTCTCACAATGTGCAAATCCATGCAAATAGGATACATTGTTATAAGGAGGTAAGAGATGTTTGTAAATACGAGGAATTTATACTCACGAAGTAGGGTGGTGACAAGTATGTGGATGTTCCTGAAAGGAATATTTAGAAGGTTAGTCCAGGGTGCATATAAATGGAAATTTCAGCTGATAAGTTTCGACATTAAGATGCTTGTTGATCGAAAACAGGAATTCAATAAAATCTTTGACTCTTTAGCTTAACAACTAGACGTTCTACAATAATCTTCATCCGAAGCACAGACGATATATGAACATTTATTTCGAGGGAGATTTGATCTTTGGTCTCCATCAGAGAATGTTTTTGACATCTTATGGTATAACATTCTTCGTGATAATGTTAAGACTAGTCGGTGTTCTCCAGTCATTCAACGGTCTGCAGATTCCTGAATAACACTATCTCACATCTGACTACTTCTATCAGTTCATCTGTTTCAATGCAGCCAGTTATATTTTTCAGTCTAAAAGAGGGCGAAGTACACAATTCTGTGGAATGGTGTCAATTTTTGTCATAGTAGTGCGACAATTGAACACCTCTCAGAAAAAGCCTCTTTCAAATTAGTCTACATAGTGAAGAAACACCTAATAATGACGGTACGCTTTCGTCTCCTTCGCATTGCTGAAGCTCTAGACAGTCAGATGAAAAAACTACTCAAGGACTTTCAATATCAGCACATCAACTCTGATGTTTCCTACGAAGACACCGTCTTCACAAAACTGCTTGTTTGCTCTTTTGTCGATAATAAGAAAGGGTTATAAAGAAAATTGAGCACTATGGAGACATTAAACACGCAGAAAAACTATGTGAGTAAAGTGAGAGGAAGAGAAATCTAACAACAAGACTTCACAAACCAAAGGTTCCTCTTTAACTCTTTGTGTGAATCTGTGTATTCTCAACGCAAAGGCTTTGTAAGTGGTTAGTTGAGATGTTAGAGTCTATAACAGAAAACGTTTCTGCAAGTTTCCTCTCAAAATCACCTTTGATTCAATAAGATTTCTTCATAAGTGAATTATAAAAAATTAAACCATGTTCCCCCTTGACATTGATTCTTAGTTCTAAATAAGATATTGATACGGGCAACAGGAATTTCATATGATCATATTTCAAACCAAAATATCGTATGTTCAATACATGAAGTCAAGTAGCTACTTTTTTTGAGCATTTTTGCAGGTCTATGGTATGTCAACGAGTAGAGTAGGATCAGAGTTAGTCGACATATATATATATTTATATATCAAGTTTTGAGAACCCACTTGGCGATGTAATCTGGTCCAGTTCACCAATTAACTATCTTCCTAGCCGTTTCTGTACCCTCTAGAAGAGGAAGGGTAAGATGTGTGACTGGCGACCCTACGATTGAAATCCAAGCAAACTGCTACAGACACTTCAACGCACAAGGAGAATATTAAAATTACACAAATTTAGGAAATGAACGTATCCTTCACTGAAATCAGAGAGGTGAAATGGAAAGCCTTCGGGAAGCCAGTCAGTCAGCTGATGTGTATTCTCTCGATGAAAGCTTAAATAAACATGCAGATGTGGAAAGTTCAAACAATCTACGGGGCTTGGAATGGTACCTAATCAGCTAAAGAAATGAGAGAATACTTCGGAGATGTGCAGCGAATCTGATAAAACGGGGGGAATGGATGTGGACTATTAAAACAGTCCATCGGCAAGTCAGTAATCTACCCCAATTACCTAGATGGCAACCACGAGAACACTGAGGCAGAGAGTGCCTATCATGATGTCAACAACAGCATGAAAGGTTCTAGTGCAGAGGGAGACAATCTCCTCCTCCAGGATTGTGACATCAAGATTCAACTCAAAATGAAGGCAGGGCGATTACCATAGTCCAATGCTACACACTTATAAACAACTTAGAACAATAGAAGAAGTTAGATTTCTCTATAAAATTGCAAACAGAAACGAACAACATCCAAAATTACGACATCAAAATCCAAATTCGCGATATGAATGCCTGTGAAATTGGGAGTAGACAACACAGGAAGAGGACTAATCATGGGTAGAAAGGCTCTTGGAAAGGGGAATAATAATAGAAATGCATTCGCTGACTTCTTCATCTAAACTGATTTCATGATTGCAGATACAGTATACAAACAGATAATATATATAAAGCGCCATGTTTTTCACCTGACATGCACTCTAAAAACCGTACAGATATCATCTCAATGATTTTCAGGAAAGTGGAGATGAATTCTTCTGGACAGAAAGTCGAGAAGTGGAGCATATTCGGCTCAGATCATTATCTAGTGCAAAGAAGCTTCAAAATGGAGCTTGAATCTTTCAGAACAACCGGAGAGAGACCACAATTGAAGTTCGACACTCAGAAAATGAAGGAGCAAACTACAAAGGATTTCGTTGCTGATGCTATCAGAGCAAAGTTGAAGACACCACACGACATCAATGGGGAGGCCTATGTTGAAGAAATTTGGTACTCTTTGAAGGTGATGTTTGAGGAAACATGTCCAATGGTATTAGGAAGAAAGAAGAGAGAAGACAAGGGATGCCTCTCAACGGATGCTTGTATGCTGGAAGGTGGGATGAATCGGTGCGAAGGTGAACAACATACGGAGAGGCTCAATATGCACCACAGTGAATAAAGAAGAGAAGTAGAGTAATATGTGAGAGAAATGATAATTATAGAACACACTGGCCGGTGACTGAAGCAGAACAGGCAAGCCGCAGGTGTATATAAGAAATCTACAGACCTAGTGAATCCACGATTTTCTACTTCCGGATAAATTTGCCGACCAACTAATTGTGGAGTGATGACGATTCTTTCGTTTGTCTTATTTCCTTTCGTGGATTGCCTATTGAGCCGATTCTGTGATTCACCCTCTTACTAGAATATTTCCCTCAGTTTATTTTGACTGATATCGGGTGAGATGCTTTGTTGTCTAAACACAGGTTCATATATATATGTTTTCTATGGCAAGTATAATCAGAAACTCCTGTCTTGCTTCTTTTTATAGTAAAATAGGGACAGCCTTGATAAATGAGAAGTTTTCTTATTGGTAACAATACTAAGACCAACAAGATGCAACTCAAAAGTTAGTATATTAGATTCATTTAAATTAGTGAGATGACTTAAAACCACTAAAGTAGACGAAGAGGAAAAGCTAGTCAGCTTTGATGTAAACAGTCTCCGTGCTAAAATTCCCTTTCAAATAGCCACAAATGCACTGCAAATGAGACTAAAAGATGATTGCCTAAAAGATGGGGAGTGAATTCTGTCTGACAACAGCATATTTCACATTTGAAGGAAAAATATACCAACAAAATGAATGAGTAGCTACGGGATCACCCATCTCATCAATAATAGCTGACATATTCATCGAGTTTTGGGAAGAGAATGAACTTAAACCATTTAGGTCACCAATAAAATGTTGAGGGAGGTATGTAGACGACACGTCAGTAATAATGAAAAAGAACGATGTTGAGAAATTCTTCTCGCACATAAACAGCCATGTCGACTCAATACATTTCACTATATAAATGCAGACGAAATTGAGGAACTGCCTATGTTAAACTTCAAAATACAAAGAGTAACATATGGTAGCGTAAAAACGACACTATATAGAAAAACGACACATTCCGGAAGATTCCGTGGTTATCACTCAGCTCGTTCACTCACGGTAAAACGAGGATAAATGCAAGGTCTTGCAGATAA